GTCCTGCAGAGTTTAGCTCCAACTTGCCTCAACACACCTGACTGGTAAGTTTCTAGTATGCCTATAAGAGCTTGATTAGCTGGTTCAGGTGTGTTTAATTGGGGCTGGAGCTAAACTCTGCAGGACACCGGCCCTCCAGGACCGAGTTTGGGCACCCCTGCGTTATACAGTCTATGGCCGCCCTCAGGGGCCCTCCAGATCGATGGGTGGCACTGGTGGTTCATCTTGTCACTCCTGCGCTTCAGTCTGTTTTAAAGAAGAAGACATGGCGTCACGACTCTTCATAAACAGTTGCAGGTGAAGATATGAAGATATAACCTCAGACATGTTTTTGGGTAAGATCATACTGCTGTCGTTTGCGGATGCGTGTCGTTACCGCTTCCAATGACTCCGGCTCTATTGTCACTCATTATTCGTGTGGGTTATTGCAGACATACTGTATACTAACTGCGTTAAGCGGTCAACTCCTCCCTTACGCGTTTTATTTTATTATACAGCGTTTTTGAAGTTTGCATATCTAATAATCTTTATATTTACAGCACAAACGCATGCATTTGATCGTTTTATAGTATCGTAAGCGTAAACCACAATAATAGGAATGATTTGAACTGGATTCACATTTGATTGCATATGACAGGTTGTTTATGCATGTTTATTGATTGATTTGTTTTTAGTTTTTCGACATTAATGTGTTTAATATTATACTTGCTGTCGTTGTCCTATTATATATTTAAATGGGTATAGTAAAGTTACATGTTAATGTATTACATTTAGATACTGTTGAATTATTTTTATTAGAATGTGTTTAATATTAGAATGTTTACTTATCATTATTAGAATATGTAGAGTTTGTTACAATGACAAAAATAACAGTTTAATATCATGTTTTCTTTTTTTTCTATTTTCCTTGACGATGCATATGGTCTAAGAGTGTTGCTCTTTTCTCTTAAAACGCATGTTTATTGATTTATTTACAAAGAAAGTTCCCTTCAAGCCTTTCAAATGATATGAGGTCAAAAAACGACATGCATATTTAGTATACGCAAATTAAAAACTGCTGTTTAAAGGGGTCATATGATGCGATTTCAATTTTTCCTTTCTCTTTGGACATTTCATTACACCAAATACACAAAATAATGTTCTTTTTAGCAACGTCATATGACCCCTTTAACATTATTAGAGCTTATATAGTATGTCACACTGCTGGAAGTCATGTGTGGTCTTTATGAGCTTCTCTATTGTTTTGTCAGTCTGATTGAGCGTTGAGATGGAAACTATGGCTGTGAATCTGCTGGCCACCTCTCCGTCCACCACTACGCTCTCTCCGTCTCCCTGTGTGGAGGACCCTGGTTTCCCCTTGTCCTCTCTGGACAGCGAGGACTATGTGTTTGTGGAAGCGCGGCATCCCAACAAAGTGCTGGAAGGCTTGAACAGCTTACGGCTCAATAATGCTTTCTGTGATGTGACTCTGTGCTGCGGAGGGCAGGAGTTTCCCTGCCACCGTATTGTGCTGGCCTCCTTCAGCTCTTATTTTCAGGTAATAGTCATTGTTTCTAGGGCTGCACGATTATGACAAAAATCATAATTGTCGATAATTCCCTTGAAATTGTAATTGCGATTATTAATTACGATTATCACAATTTACACTGAATGATGTTTATACCACTGTTTGATGCAACTGCATGCCGTATTTTTATATGAAAATAAACAAGCTGAAAACACTCTAACTGAAAAAACTTTTAGTGCTTTTCTATAGTATTAAGCCTCAAATATCAAATATACATCGGATTGGTTTCTTCTTTAAATTATAAAAAAGTAAAAATATGAATGGTATTATAATGTTATACTAAAACTAAAATTAAAATAATGGGAAAAACCCTTAAGATAAGGTGTAGAAAGAAAAAAACGCATCTTAAACACGCAGAATAACATAAGTGGACTTTGAACGATTAATTGCTGCTTTGAACGATTACGTAATTGTGGCATGCATCATTTGTAATCGCGATTAGAAATTCGATTAATTGTGCAGCCCTAATTGTTTCTGTCAAAAGGCTGCCTAGTAGGATTAGTTCTTGACCTAAATAATAGCCAGTGGCAAAACTTCATCAGATATTTTCATATAATTTTGTTTTCCCCAAGTAGTAAGTTTAGGTAATAGTCCCAAGTAATAGTATTTGTTTTACACGCTATTTGTTTAAACCCTGAAAAAGTGCTTGAAACACCCTTATATATATATATCAGTGGATGTAACTGAAAAATATTACCATAAATAAAATAAAATACATTATTTGAAAACTAAGAATAGTATTTGTTTTACACGCTATTTGTTTAAACCCTGAAAAAGTGCTTGAAACACCCTTATATATATCAGTGGATGTAACTGAAAAATATTACCATAAATAAAATAAAATACATTATTTGAAAACTAAGAATTTTTTTTTTTTTAAAGAAGTCTCTTCTGCTCACCAAGCCTGCATTTATTTGATCCAAAGTACAGCAAAAACAGTAACATTTTGAAATATTTTTACTATTTACTGAATTTTTGGCATTATTACTCCAGTCACATGATCCTTCAGAAATCATAATATTCTGATTTGCAGCTTAAAAAACATTTATTATTATTATTATAATGTTGAAAATAGCTGAGTAGAATTTTTTCAGGTTTCTTTGATGGATAGAAAGTTCAGAAGAACAGCACTTATCTGAAATCGAAATCTTTTGTAACATTATAAATGTTTTCATCATCGCTTTTGATCAATTTAAAGCTTCCTTGTTAAATAAAATTATTAATTTCTATAATCCCCCACCCCCCCAAAAAAAATGTTTTTAAACAAATTATACTCACGTATTACTATGGACTTATACTCACTTTTGAATGGTGTAGTGTATAATGTTACAAAAGCTTTATATTTTAGATAAATGCTGATCTTTGGATCTTTCTATTCAAAAAAATTTGCTCAACTGTTTTGAATATTGATAATAATAATGATAAATGTTTCTTGAAGAGCAAATCAGCATATTAGAATGATTTCTAAAGGATCATGTGACACTGAAGACTGGAGTAATGATGCTGAAAATTCAGCTTTACATCACAGGAATACATTAAATTTTAAATATATATTCGAATAGAAATCAGTTTGTTTAAATAGTAAAAATCTTTCTGTTTTTGCTGTACTTTGGATCAAATAAATGCAGGCTTGGTGAGCAGAAGAGACTTCTTTAAAAACATACAAATCTTACTGTTCAAAAACATTAGACTGGTAGTGTATATTAATCTAAAATGCAACAAAACCTAGAAAGCAGATCTGAATTTGAGATGTCTGCTTATATAGAAGAGTCAAGTTTAAATATCTTCCATTATTGTATTAAATGTGACCCTGGAGCACAAAACCAGTCATAAGGGTCAATTTTTTGAAATTGAGATTTATACACCATCTGAAAGCTGAATAAATAAGTTTGTTATGATAGGACAATATTTGGCCGAGATACAACTATTTGAAAATCTGGAATCTGAGGGTGCAAAAACTAAAAAAATAAATATTGAGAAAATCGCCTTTAAAGTTGTCCAAATGAAGTTCTTAGCAATGCATACTACTAATCAAAATTTAAGTTTTGATATATTTACAGTAGGAAATTTACAAAATATCTTCATGGAACATGAATTTTTGGCTTTTGCTACAAATATACCCGTGCTACTTTAGACTGGTTTTGTGGTCCAGTGTCACAAATTATTAATATACATTTAAACTGTTCTTCATGGATTAATAACTCCCTAATCAATGCTTAGTTGTGGTGTTTTGTTGGCGCAGGCCATGTTCTCCACCGACCTGATGGAGTCTCGTCAGGAGCGGGTGGCCATCAACGGAGTGGAGCCCCAGATGATTGGCATGCTGGTGAGCTACGCCTACACGGCGGAGGTGGTGATCTCCAAGGCTAACGTGCAGGCGCTCCTGGCGGCCGCCAACCTGCTGGACGTGATGGCGGTGCGGGAGGCCTGCTGCAGGTTTATGGAGCGCCAGATGGACGAGATGAACTGCGTGGGCATTCACTGCTTCGCCGAGGCGCACTCGTGCCGAGAGCTGGAGCAACGCAGCATGGAATACATCCAGCAGCACTTCAGCACCGTTTGCCAACAGGTGAACTCAACCAGAGGAGTGTCACACTTTAGATGAGCTCTTAAAATGATGCTCAGTTACCACAGCTGGTCCTTGTCAGGGTCAAAAATGAACTTTTCCAGCAACGGACACAAATTTGACCATGTTTAAGTCCATTCCCCTTAAAATCAGCACAGAAAATGCTAAACAAAAAAGAAAGAAAAAAGTGTAGGGTATGATAAATGAAAAAAAAAATGTCTGTTTGTTTGTTTCACAAATTATTTGTTCAAACCCTGAGACATAAAATTGCCCAAAACACCCTTTTGTATCAGTGAATGCCATTGAAAATTATTAATAATTATATACTGCCAAAAAACAATCTTTAATGCAATGTGAGCAGATGTCACAATTGACTCATTTTCACATATCACAACAGTCATAATGATTTTAGTTTAATTGAGCAGGGGCATTTTGAATTTGGGGGGCTTTTGTTGCTTATGTTGCTGGCATTTTTGCCCAGGGCTTTTGTTATTGTTCTGTTTTCTGTTGCGAACATATCAGAAAAATTATCTTTCTACTGCATAGACTGATATATTTGTCCATCTTATAAATGATTGACATCATGAGGATTCTAATTGTCCTTGTTATTAGGGAAAAAAAAAAAAAAAAAAAAAAACAGTGTGATTTGTGGAAATTCTCTCTGGAGTGTTCAGTTTTAATAAGATGTGATGTGGTAATTTCAGCCTTGATTCTCTTAACTCTAAATGTTCATGACATGAGGATTCTAAGTGTCCTTGTTCATTATACTATGAACTTATGCCTTCTTTCTCTTCTGTTTCACCTCATCAGGAGGAGTTTCTGTCTCTTTGTGCCGATAAACTGACTGAGATTATTTCCAGTGACCATCTGAACGTGCCAAAAGAAGAGACGGTGTTTGAGGCGGCCGTTGTGTGGCTGGAGAAGAACCCCTCACGCAGACAGAGCTTTGAGAAGGCCAGTCATAAACCATATTAACATCTTTGTTCACGTCTTCGGAAGAGACCCAACCAGTGCTAGTTCTCTAAGGATCGACTCTTCTGCTTTTAGTAATACTTTAACAATTATGCTGTGATCTTGGAGCACGCAAGATTTCGTCATACAAAATGTGATGTCACACTTTGCGGCATCTTTATTGGTTCTTTTTTAAGCAGCATATTGGTGTTTTTTTGAGTCGTGTTTCTAAGGAAGGTTTGTATTATGATCTCAGTTGAGCGGGTAGGTTCCTCTCACGTGTCAGTGATAGAGCTCCAGCAGATGTCTGGGATTAGCCGCCTTTATGTGTTTTGATGAACTAAGCCTGTGAGAGGCCACATGCTCCGTACAGGCTATGATTATGAAGAGAACAGTCACTTCACAGGGATGTGCGAGAAACGTAAATCTAGCCCTGATTGGATGGGGTCGGATTGCTGTGTTTACTTTACATATCATTGTTGCTATGCAGTTATTTAAAGACTAGACCTTAATTACAGCTCTTGAGAAAAGCTCATTGCATATCTCATTGGAGTGTCAGGCAATTCTAAATGCACAGGACTGATTTTAAGTTGTAATTAGTAGCGTTTGCCAAGACAAGTGTCATTTTCACTATTACTCATAATTTGGTTCAGTTATACTATTACTCGAGGAGTGTCACACTTTAGATGAGCTCTTAAAATGATGCTCAGTTACCACAGCTGGTCCTTGTCAGGGTCAAAAATGAACTTTTCCAGCAACGGACACAAATTTGACCATGTTTAAGTCCATTCCCCTTAAAATCAGCACAGAAAATGCTAAACAAAAAAGAAAGAAAAAAGTGTAGGGTATGATAAATGAAAAAAAAATGTCTGTTTGTTTGTTTCACAAATTATTTGTTCAAACCCTGAGACATAAAATTGCCCAAAACACCCTTTTGTATCAGTGAATGCAATTGAAAATTATTAATAATTATATACTGCCAAAAAACAATCTTTAATGCAATGTGAGCAGATGTCACAATTGACTCATTTTCACATATCACAACAGTCATAATGATTTTAGTTTAATTGAGCAGGGGCATTTTGAATTTGGGGGGCTTTTGTTGCTTATGTTGCTGGCATTTTTGCCCAGGGCTTTTGTTATTGTTCTGTTTTCTGTTGCGAACATATCAGAAAAATGATCTTTCTACTGCATAGACTGATATATTTGTCCATCTTATAAATGATTGACATCATGAGGATTCTAATTGTCCTTGTTTTTTTTTTTTGTTTTTTTTTAAGAGTTCGTTATCCTATAAATGTCTTTTGTCTTCTTTCTCTTCTGTTTCGCCTCATCAGGAGGAGTTTCTGTCTCTTTGTGCCGATAAACTGACTGAGATTATTTCCAGTGACCATCTGAACGTGCCAAAAGAAGAGACGGTGTTTGAGGCGGCCGTTGTGTGGCTGGAGAAGAACCCCTCACGCAGACAGAGCTTTGAGAAGGCCAGTCATAAACCATATTAACATCTTTGTTCACGTCTTCGGAAGAGACCCAACCAGTGCTAGTTCTCTAAGGATCGACTCTTCTGCTTTTAGTAATACTTTAACAATTATGCTGTGATCTTGGAGCACGCAAGATTTCGTCATACAAAATGTGATGTCACACTTTGCGGCATCTTTATTGGTTCTTTTTTAAGCAGCATATTGGTGTTTTTTTGAGTCGTGTTTCTAAGGATCACCATGGATTTACTGTAGTAACACTAACTGCATCATGGTATTGTGACAGAAATGTGGGATAGCCATATCGAATTTTAATATATTAGTAATGTAGACATTTATCCAATGTATTAAAGGAGTAATGGAATATAATTGCAGTATTTTTGTGTTTAATCTATTGCTTTTGTGCATTTATACTAAATGTATTTAATTACTGTTTTTCGTACAAATATACACCATCTAGTTATATTTTTACCGCGGTATTAAGGTGATATGTGTGGTTATCATGATCTAAATGTATGCTACTATGGAAGACCAATAGTCAAACAGTTAGAATAATTACTATTATTATTTTTTTTTAATCGATTGACAGCACTAGTTTAAAGGGATAGTTCACCCAAAAATGAAAATTTGATGTTTATCTTTACCCCCAGGGCATCCAAGATGTAGGCGACTGTTTCTTCAGTAGAACACACATGATGATTTTTAAGTCCAACCGTTGCAGTCTATCAGTCGTATAATGCATGGCAATGGTAACAAAATCTATGAGAGTAAAAAACACATGCACAGACAAATCCAAATTAAACCCTGCGGCTCGTGACGACACATTGATGTCCCAACACATGAAACGATAGGTTTGTGCGAGAAACCGAACAGTATTTATATAATTTTTTACCTCTAATACACCACTATGTCCAATTGCTTTGGGCGCGCACACAACTTCCTGTGCGTGAGGCGTGTAGGCGCTCTGGCGTAGGTTACGTTAATGGGTGTGTTGTCGCGGGAGAAGCAAACGACAGACACCGTTTATTAACAGAAAATAAACAAAGTGTCCAGAAAAAAGGGAATCAAGTGTCCAAAATAAACAGGGGATCTGGTGTCCTCGTCGTGCTGCGGGGTTCGTGAAGGGCAGTGGTCAGGAAGGAAGGAAGGGTCCAGGTAAGGGGCGGAGTCCGGCGGCCGCACGCGCTCCCCTCTTTGGGGCGCGAGGTGTGGCGGCTTCGTCCTTCTCTCTGCTCACGGCGCTTGAAGGGACTAGACGGCCCAGCATCCTTGCCCGACGGCCGTGTAACGGGTGCGGTTCTCGTCTGGACTGCGGGTCCGGCAGCTCACGACTCTGGCGGCACGGGAGTCCCTCTACACACCCCTCCTGGACCCACGAGGACACTAGCGTGCGTGCACGGGGAAGAGACCGGTCTCCCGAGGAGAGGCACGCTCGGCATTTAAACAGCGGCAGTGATGAGGCTCCATTCGGTTCAGGTGTGCCCCATCACACGCCGCCACCCCTGGCTATTTCAGCGCCCCTCCTCTCTCACGCACCCACTCCCGTCGGGAGCCTGGCGAAGGGCGGCGATTAAGGGATGGGGTGATGATGATAATTAGGGGGAGGCAGCCGACTCGTCACA